GGGGGGGGGGGGGGGGGGGGGGGGGGGGGGGGGGGGGGGGGGGGGGGGGGGGGGGGGGGGGGGGGGGGGGGGGGGGGGGGGGGGGGGGGGGGGGGGGCGATAGCGTATGTGGCACGGGCACCTACATACATGACGTATCAGGAGGGGCCAGGATTTCTCGGCAACTACTGTAGCCCGAAAACCGACCGGGTAGCATGGGTCGACGGTGGATCGAGAACATCGATTGATGCACGGTGAGCGCTTCCGTGTACGTCGGTGCATATTCTATGGCACCAGAACTGACTCCCTGCCGACAGGATTCTGTGCTGGAATACTACGGTGCAGCTGGCCGGGAGTTGGGAATAAGTGGGTCTACCCAGCAGCCACGGTGATCTGCGTAACCCCAGTGGTGCGGGTTCAACGTGGACATGGTTTAGACCTTTCTCTCCCCGGTAAAGAGAACATCCCATTCCGTCACGGGCGCGGCACGTCGAGGACAAAGGCCACACGTATCTACACATCTAACCATGAACATCAAGTTTTCCGCTCCTTCCTATTCTTCTTGGGCACCGGCAATAGTGCTGACATGGTTGTCGTCGTAGTAGTAGTAGTAGTAGCAGTAGGAGGAAGAGGAGGAGGAGGGGGGGGAGGAGGAGTTGCTCTTGGCGTAGCGGAAGGAGCAGTGGTGGTAGGAGTTGTTGCCGTAATACGATTAGTCTCGCCTTGGGGCAATGGCCGTAACAAGTACCACACATATTGATAGTCGGCCTACAAGAGTCGCCGCCATACCTCGCTATGGCCCAACCACCTCCATCTCTCGTTGTGATCTACGAAGATACGAGTATGGCCCAACCACCTACCTCACAAGGAAACCTAGGCGTTCGGTGCGCGTGGAGGCGACGATGACGATGTCTTTCTCGGCTCCCTGGAATGCATCCACCGTGCTAACCTGTGCGCGGCGGAATCGCAGAGGGAAGGCGAAAGACGTAGGAAGTGGGTAAGTCTCCCAAAGTCTCCTTAAACAAGTAACATCTTCGCACATAATGGTTTCATTGGAGCTAAGCATGGTGAGTTTCAAGAAACAAAAAAGTACCAGCACGAAAACAATTCAGCAGCCAATATTTCTACTTTCCCATCAACAAGAGCGGACACATGTCGTCGTCCTTTTTTTTTTGTGCTGCGCGCACACCTGCACGTCGCGGCAACACGAAGGAACCGAAGAACCCCCGCCTTGCTGCCCTTCATCCCGTCCGTCTCCCCCAGGTTGAACACCAACATCCAGTGATGACGAAGACGATGGCATCGAAGAAGCCGCAGGGGTGGCCCGAGACGCCGACTCCAGCTCACGGCGGACCTGTGCCAGCTGTGCCTTGTCTGATCATCGAGCGGAAATAACGGTTGTGTAGAACGCACGCATCACACCGGAACACGTCAGAAGCAGGACTCTGCTGTCATCCAACCCCTTGCCCCCCCCTGTTGCTAGGACCCTTTGACTAGAAAACTTGTTCGCGTTATGTCCCGCCTCTAAGACTTTCCTCTTTTCATCGGTCAGCCGGCTATAATAGCGCGGTCGATGCTAATTCGAACATATGACACACATACACAACGCACCAAATGTTTCAGCGGAGTCATGAAACGGTACACAAGGCAAAGGGCACCAAACGTTTGTCGTAAACGGCTATTTCACGCTGTTGTCACGTGCAAACTGCTACGTAGCCCTGCGGCCAGCCTTACGAGACAAACAGACGGTGCTCGCTAGGTTCAGCCTTCAGCCGTCCCCAAAAGCCACATGAAAATTCTCAACAGAAGATCCGAACCTGACTCCTTCGCCCCAAACAACATGCCTTGACAAATCATGAGAAACCTCAAGCCACGGCTATACCCCTTCGGTCCGACGTACATAGGCAAATGATCCCGATACTGGCCACGGATACACCACCGCCGCCACTGCCGCCGCCAGCGCCGCCGCCGTTGCTTGACCCGGCGCGCAGCAGGGAGACCACGACGTCCGCCACCGCGCGGGCCTCGAAGGCGTTCTTGATGCTGCCGCCGGGGGCCGTGCTCTCGGCGCCCCTTCCGGCGGCGTCGAGGAGCGTCAACGGCGCGAGCCCCGGCACTAGCGGCCCCCGGTCTCTCGCAGCAACGCCGTCCGTCAACCTTGTGTTTGGCGGCGGCGGCGGCGGCGGCGGTGGTGAATGTGATGTGGGGATGGATGGTGACAGCGAGACAAGCATGTCCACCGAGTTTGAAATAGTGCGGTGGCACGTTGTTGTGTTTGATGACGGCGGCGGCGGCGGCGGCGGCGGCGGCGGTGGTGAATGTGATGTGGCCATGACAAGAGTTAAGGGAACCGCGCCGATAAAGTTTGAGAAAAACGGGGTGTCGTGTCGGAAAGCAAGGCGAATGGGGGGAGTGGGAGAATTGCGCGAAAGTGACAATGTTTTGAGCGAATTCGATTGGAACCAGCACACTTGTGTACACGCGAACGGCGACAACGAGACAGACCAACAGCAACAACACCGTTGACCGGATGCTCGCCATCAAACACCATCACGAGGACGGTGCCTCCACCGATGCGCCTCAACTCAACCCAACCCAACCCAACCCAAACGTGGCATACCTGCCCTGATAGAAGAGGCGGCTTGCCAGTGCCGACATCTGCGGGTGGCAGCGGTACTGCCGGCCTAGCAGCAGGGGCTGAACGCCGAGCTTGGCCAGGCGAACGAACAGGGTCTTCTCTAGAGTGTCCCCGTTCCCCGGGCGCGCGTTCACTTTCTCAAGCCACGCCTCTTTGGGCATCTGTCGCTGTGATTGCTGGTGCTGGTGCTGCTGCTGCTGCTGCTGCTGCTGCTCCTGCTGCTGACGACGATGATGTTCGGCTGATACGGTCGACTGCATGGCGACAACGGAAAAGGTGCGGAATCAACGAGCATCCCTTGGGCGACACAGGTGGGCACGGTCTCCTCGCAACCCTTTCTTCATGCAGACGTCTGGCACACACCACCCCGGACGCGTTTCGGACCTTCGTCGAGGTCGGAATTGTGCATACTTCTATGCAAATCATGAAAAATACAATTTTTGTGGCTAGATTAATAGTTCAACATGCGCTCCTACACACATTACACCAACACCCCCCCCCCCCCCCCCCCCCCCCCCCCCCCCCCCCCCCCCNCCCCCCCCCCCCCCCCCCCTCCCCCCCTCAAAATGCTTGGCACGACCCGCCGCACGCCGCCCCTCATATCCCCGTGAGACACTGGCGTCCACCCCAACACCCCACCCCCATTCGCTCGCTCGCGCTGACCCTCGCATGTTCCATCCCCCGTCCCCTCACCCTGGCACGCGCTACCGGAGGCGGGAGCTGCATCGGGTCTCCCACAAGCACGAGCCTCCGCGGCTGCGCAACGGCGACCGGCAGCAGGCTCATCGGCTCCACGATCTGCGAGCACTCGTCGAGAACGACGATGTCGTACCCGCGGCGACGTCCCTCGCCACCGCCCCCGCTCCAACCTCGCTCCCCCGCGCTTCCCCTCCCCCCCCCCAAACGACGCCCGTTGCTCCCGGCAACCCCGGCCGGACGTTTCCATGGACCAGCCGTCTTGGCGCCTCCCGTGGCGACCCCGGTCTTTCGCGCTGCAACGGAATTGCTGCCGTTGCCGCCGCTGACAACGCCGCCTCGTGGGAGGGGGCGCGGCGACCGGGGCGGTCTTGTGAGCAAGGGTACCGTCGCCGACGCGCAGGTGACGCCGGTCACGCGGGCCTCGCGCAACCTATGTGACAGGACGGCGGCGGATTCAGGGAATCAATGAAACCATGCTGTGGGGTTTGGAAGGGTTTTGAACGGCCTTCTTTATGTGCATGTGGCAACAACAACAACAACCACAGCAGCACCAGCAACAACAAGAGCAACTACTCTCACCGTTTGGCTTGGTCTGTCGTGAAGCTTTCCGCCTTCGACGCCTGCAGCGCTCGCCCAATCTCGTCCCTTTCCGCTCCAACAGCCGTCTTGAGCATAGCCTGGAGCTCACTCTGCACTGCCTGAACAGGTGTGAATTTCATCAATTGGTAAGTACTTGATTTGATCTATGGAACAACAACAACAACACACAACAGGTTTTAGAGCTCTGCGCGCTATCAGGCAACCAGGAGAAGGCTTCGGAAGCACGTGTTCGACTGTAGAGGCCGGCGACCCTCCTCACCGCGACAACCTTCAACATCTGAACGCGGATACGTTCCACCTTGATGCTGAGGGCGGGGTGATTCCCACTCCCACTCCAACGAGTAGGGAACAACGGCCTTTTTTTTTTGGGGGGGGGGGGGG